CTCCAGAACCGCTGCGCCGATCGCCACCAAACTTTCAGTACCCTCTCGGACATCAATTTTACACATCGTGACCAAAAATTTTTCCAAAGGCTATGATAGGTTGGCTGGAAATGACGTCAGAGTGACGTCATGTTCTGCCGTTTTCGACCAAAAAAAGGGTTTCGCGGGAAGAGCTGTCAGGCCTATAGCTTTGCAAATACAGAAAAACGATAAAGACATAAAAGATGTAAAATTGACAGGGCTACAAAACTGCTATCTCGGATTTTTGAAGTTTTTTGGATTTTGACCCCCAAAAATCAAAAAATAATTTTTTTAAATATAATAACCGAAAAATCCAAAAAGTTTTTGGAGTTTCGCAAAAACCGGAATATAAATGATAGTCCTTACCGCCTTCTATCTACATACCAAATTTGAGATTGATACCTCATTTTTTGGCGAAGTTATAGCGAAAAAACTGTTCAAAATTGATGACGTCAAATTTTCAAACTCAATTTTTAGCAATTCTAGACCCCGTAGCGCAAAACAAAGACCACCATTAGACTCCCCGTGACGAGCTGCATCGAATCAATACCCATTTTATGCAAAACTATCAACTTTAAAATTTGACCTTTCTTGACCTGACCTTGACCTGACCTTCACCAGAAAGTGACCTAAGCCGTACCTGATAGTCTTATAACCAACACCATTGAGTTAGAAATGAAAAATTGGCCATAAAACATGCATCGCACAACCTAAGTACCTAATGTTAGGTTCATGTGACCTGACCTCTGGGCTCTGACCCTTGGTGACCTGACCTGTGACCTGACCTGGTATTGTCAGTGACCTCTTATAGCAACATATGTACTAGGCAACTGACGCCCTATCGCTGATTCTCGACAAAATGCGTTTTCTTCGGTGTTATAGCGCATTCCCTAGATGACCCGTGAACGGTGAAACATGTCATCTTTGACCTGACCTGTCTGTGACGTCATCGGTGACCCCGAGGTCAATGAAATTTGGTTTCCCTCGACAAATTTGACAGGCCTTTCGAACGCCGTTTGAATTTTGAGGATCCGTCAAGTAGTTTCGGAGATACGAGGGGGGCAAAAAATAGCCCCCCCCCCACCAGGTCGCGTTATAAACAGACCCCACCAGGGCGCGGGTTAATATAATTTGACTTTTTCAAAAGATAATTAGTTTTATTTGTTGACATTGTATACTGACTTTTCTCGTCACAGATGGCATCTGCTCAAACTGTCAAACACGTATCGGTCATTGGGCTTTTCTCTGTGCTTGTTTATATCTGTTTCATATTTCGACTGGTTGCTGGCTGACCCATGCTCCACATGCAGCCAGACAGTATTAGTTGTCTTTTTATCTGCATAATTCTCAGAGGCATGTCGTCACATTTCGTATTTATGGCCTTTGATATTTACCGTGTCCTTTGAACATGTATTGCCGATTTGGTGATGTTGCCAAGTCTCCAATAAAACGTTTTATCCTTTTAAAAATGGCCGAATCCCATGTTCCAACTGTGCTCCTTTGATATTTTTCGTCGGCAAGCCAGGACCATATGAACGTCCGATTATTAAGTACTACACATTTATACATTTCAGTTAATTGCAGTTAACACTAGAACGCCTAGGGGGGGGAGGGTTGTATCAACCCCCCCCCCCCCCTGAGGTTTTTTCGAAGTGCACGCTAAACGGCTTGTCGTAGCGGGCTGAAATTTTCAATACCCTCTGGGGCAACCTTTGCGCATCTTTTGCCGAAAAAAATTGATCGGGTCATGTCAGGTCACGGAGTTATGACGTCATAAGAGGTACAGCCTCCGGCCGACAGTTACCAAACGTGTGCGCCGAATCCCTAGGTTTTCTGCCGGTGATACCCACATTGTTTGATGGATCATGATGAAACTTCCCATGCATGTTGGGGCAAACATTGGCTATCGTGTGGTGCAAGAAAATTGACCGGGTCAGGTCAGGTCACGGAGTTATGACGTCATAAGAGGTACAGCCTCCGGCCGGATTTTCACGAAGTGTGTACCGAGTCCCGAGGTTTTCTGCTGATGCTATCCACATATCTTTTCTGAGTCGTTACCTACAGTATTTATAGCGGAGCAGTGGTCAACAGCCGACGAATCGGGACAAACACCGGAGGGTGATGTGACACCATATCACTCATCAGCAATAGGCCTCTTACTTTTATAGGGTAAATACACCAAAAACACCATATATGATGCAGAATTGAGTGGGGAATACGTTGTTGAAGGTTTGAAGTTATTATCTCTCACCGTTTTGCCGCAATCGTTGCGCAAAGTTGAAAAAGTTTGATTTTTTCGGAAAATTTGACCTTTGACCGGTCATAAGTAGGTCAAATGTTGACCTAGGACCAAAAAATATACCACCAATCGCGAGATCTCGTTGAGAGCAATCCGTTGGTTTTTTCCGCTAAGCTCTACGACCTTCCGTTTCGAAACGCCAGGGGGGGGGGTCGTAACAACCGGGTGCACGTCAGAATAGCTAGTGACATTTGAGCTAGTGACTTTTCAGCTAGTGCAAAACAGCTAGTGCCTCAAAACAGCTAGTGACAAAATCGCTAGCGTCAAAATAGCTAGTGAAACAAAATAGCTAGTGCTTCAAAACAGCTAGTGACAAAATCACTAGAGTCGAAATAGCTAGTGAAGCAAAATAGCTAGTGGATCAAGATCGCTAGTGGCAGAATAGCTCGAGTCAAATGAAAAAATCCCTCTACTGAGATGGTAGGAAAGACATCGCGGAGGGCCCTAGGTTGGCCAAATTCAAAGTCAATTATGCACGTGCGTTGTCGTACATGACTTAGTTTCGTAGATTTTCGGTACCTATATGTTGCCAAAGGTTTTTCCCAGAAGACGTAAACGTATATCCCTCTGATACCACCTGCGCCCCTCTAAAGCACCGCTTACAACCACGTTAATCTTGCATATTTGACTGAAACTGAAAGTCACTGGTCAGATTTTTGTCAGATCAGTAACTTTCATGTTAGATCAGACTTCTTACCTTTGAGCATCCATGCATTTTTCTTCACCAATTCGTCAAACATCTGATCGGTCGCAAAAGTATGATTCGGTCATTAGGTCGTACTTACAACTGCTTCTCCTAGCCTAACAATTCTATTTTTCTGGTGTTTGGATTCCTGCTCTAGTAACCGGTTCTGGTGCATAGCCTTCGAGCCGCCTTCTTCTTTTCCTTTGAAGCCTTAAATAAATGTTCGTGCATTTTGGCGCCATGGTCTGCACCTCAATGCCAACGTTCATGTCACAATCTTCTTAAAGGACCCGTCGTTAAAGAATTCACACTAGCTGCTCGCAGTTCGTAGGCACTAGCTGTTTTGCTTCACTAGCTATTTTGACGCTAGCGATTATAGCACCAGCTGTTTTGAAGCACTAGCTATTTTGTTTCACTAGCTATTTTGACGCTAGCGATTTTGTCGCTGGCTGTTTTGAGGCACTAGCTTATTTGTACTAGCTTAAAAGTCACTAGCTCAAATGTCACTAGCTGTTTTGACGTGGACCCGTCAACCCCCCCCCCCCCTGGTCGTTTGTGTTATGAGAAATGGCCTGGTCGTGCGAGGGTTAATGGATTGGATATCATCATGATCAATAATGTGCAGCTGTCGAGTCTCTTACATTATGCACTTCTAATGCGTATCTAAATGACAAAAACCCGTGTAATATATCACTTAAAATAGACTTTGAGCGGCGCTTTCGGAGCGGCCAATGACATGGATAAGCAAGCATTTCCGATCAACCCATTTCGACAGCGCCCGGGTTGACCAAATACGTCATCGGGTGGACGGACCTCGTGAAGGACCGGCAGCTCGCTGTTCCGAACGCTCACGTGACCGGCGTCGATTAACCGCGCCTTTTAGGGTCGGTTCGAATGGTGTTCGGCTGCTAAGCCTGTCGCCGCATTCCAGCCCAAGCCGACTCAGTTGCAGCTAATTACGGAAAGCAATGGACAATCGATGTACTGGGCTGGCACCACGTGATCGGTTTCTATTGGTGGTCCAATGACGATTGCTGACTTAGCACGTGATGCTGTTGCCGGGTGTAATTAAGAGTTTTGAGATGTTTAGACCTGGTGCGCAATGCTTAGTGGTTCATGACTGAGTGCCCAACAAGTTTGCAAAAAAAATTGTTATCGTGCGATGCGTATTCATGCATTTGATATGCTTCCAAGTTCTGCTGGAATCATTTTAGGACTAGAAAAAAACACACTGTTCTCCAAGTACCTAATTGGTTACTTATCTCCCCTTCTGAAATTTATCGACAAGCCTCAACGCCACATTTTTAATGTTCACTTTGCTTTTTTCTGATATACCGTGGCCAGTGAACTTGACAACTTCACTATTGTTAGGAAATCTATCATCTCGTAAAAGCAGAATGGGTTGGAATGTCTATTGAACATACTTTCAAGCTGCAACAAACCATCGTATTTCATCCGTGGCAGAATTGCTTGAGAAAGAGTGCATCGAAACTTTTCAAGTACCTATTTAGATGCTCGTCTAATGCAACGTCTCTGTAATCCTATTTGACACTGGTAAGCCGCATAATTCCTTCACACTGAGCTCTGCAGACCAATGTTTGCAGCTGTCGCCACAAACGAATTATCGCATTCCTTCTGGGACGTGAGTTTTTGAGGTTGTTATATCGGCTTTGGACGCGCTTTCCCCCTGTATCGAAATGATCAAGAGGGGACAGGAACTACTGCATGTGCACGACGAATGAACGCAATTTGTGTATACTGTTCCGTGATTGCGTTCTATACGAGTCTTCTGGCATTATTGCGAATCCGCTGATCTTTATAATCACTAACCTGGCGGAAGCTCACGTACTTTTTTGTCTTAAAGCAGGGTCTCTTTGCTCCCTTTCTTTTTCCATGGAGTTATACAACATCTCAGCGACCCCATAGGTACACTTACTGCTCGGCTATTCGCGCCTGTCAACCCACGCTCTGACGATCACCTGTGGCCTGTTTCAGATGTCTCCCGGTCGGGACACCTCCGCTAGTGAGGAGGACTGCACCCTGAGGAAGGGCGTGCTCTGGTACTGCCGCGACACCCTGCTCAGTCGCTGGAATTGGAAGGAGCGCTACTTCATCCTAACCGACGACTACCTCTCTTGCTTCAAGAAGGCCAAGGGACAATACTCGGACATGGGGGCGTTCCTTTTCAAGGTAGGTGTGCGAGAGAGAGAGGGGGAGAGAGAGAGAGAGAGAGAGAGAGAGAGAGAGAGAGAGAGAGAGAGAGAGAGAGAGAGAGAGAGAGAGAGAGAGAGAGAGAGAGAGAGAGAGAGAGAGAGAGAGAGAGAGAGAGAGAGAGAGAGAGAGAGACGTGGCTGCTGGAAGGCATGAGCAGAGGAACACTTTTTACCATTCACATTGCCGCTTTTTGTAATAGCATGTGTTGACTGGCGTGCATTCGCATAAACATGAAGAAACATTCATGGAACTATAAGGAAGTTAGTTTCCGAAGCTCATCGTCACTTCCTTAACAAAAAGACGTGTCCAAAGGTCCTTCAGATGAAATAGCCGCTATGAATCACCATCACCCGAATGCGTGCGTGTGTGTACGTACCTTGGCGGCGCGTCCTTCCGCCCTCGGCCCTGTTGTCTCTCCCCACGCGTACAGTGTAAATACACCTCTGCCGTGACCTTGACCCGTCATTACTGGGCGGCGCCGTGCTTCGAGCGTTCCGTGGGGGGGACATGACGCCGCCCGAGAACCACCTGCCCCGGCCGCACAGCCCCGTGGGAGTCCTCGCCACGGGCGCAGCTGGAATTGCTTTATAGCGCAACAGGCTCATCGCTCTTCCATATTAGAGAACACCGGTGCCTACCATCTGCTTGGGTTGGGCAAGCTCGTTTAATTAGGAATATGATGGTAATGGGGAATTGTTGAAATCTGGGACAATGCCAAACGCCATCGATTATTCTCATAAAATACCAATTGCCGAAGAAAGGCTATCTAAAATGATTGCAACACAATAGTTCATCTAAACGACGCAGCTGTAATAATGTTCAATCATTACTGTCTCATTCACCTGTCATCAAAATATTGATCGATCGATTTCATTTATTTCATGGATTAGTTGAAAATAAGCAACTCTATAACCGTCGTTTCAGCAGTGTCCGATATTTTTCCATTGTCATCTTCACGGGACTATTTTGTCGCGTCTCTCTTCTCGCAACAATTCATACCAAGCATAAAACTCGACAATAAATATCTCGTATGCATTGGGCCTGGGGCCTAGAAACTCAGTTTTCTGTAATGTGACAGCCTTTCGTAGCTAGAGCTGACCTTTACCCAACGTATCCTGAGCTTGCCCGACCTGTCCTGAGTTGAACCTACATAACTTGACCTGACCTGATCTGATCTGACCTATTCTGACCTATTCTGACCTGACCTGACCTCGCCGTGTCTCTCCCCCAGCTGCCGCTGGCCTCTCTAACCGGTATGGAGTGGCAGATACTTTTTAGTTTTTACCTCACCTTTTTACCTCACCTGACCTGACCTGACCTGACCTGACCTCGCCGTATCTCTCCCACAGATGCCTCTCGCTTCTCTATAAACTGGTGTTGAGTGGCAGAGACTGCGCGACCAGGCTGCCGTGGCCCTTGACCTTACCTGATATGACCTGATTTGACCTGACCTGACCTAGTCTGACCTGAACTGACCTGACCTCGCCGTATCTCTTCCACAACTGCTGCTGGCCTCTCTATAAACTGGTGTTGAGTGGCAGAGACTGCGCGACCAGGCTGCCGTGGCCCTTGACCTTACCTGTTATGACCTGCTTTGAGCTGACCTGACCTAATCTGACCTATTCTGACCTGACCTGACCTCGCCGTGTCTCTCTTCCACAGCTGCCGCTGGCCTCCCTGACCGGCGTGGAGTGGCAGAGACTGCGCGGTCAGGCCGCCGTGGCCGTCTCAGACCCGCGGGAGGGCCGGCTGCTGTTCAGGGCACCGCAGGACGTCCTGGACCAGTGGTACAAGGTCAGTGAACCAATGGGGAGTAATGATACGAGGGCAGTGGACCAATGGGGCACCGATGGTACAAGATCAGTGGCTCCGTTGTACAGACTTGCTGTCGGTAAAGGCAATCTGTGCGACACATCTTTGAGATGCATCCAGAGCGACTGAGCTTTTAGTTTTGTGTCACGAATAAGATCACACTCATCTGAACTGTGTTTTCTTTGTTTTGTTCTTTGGTTCCTCGACCTAACTATATTTAGACACTTCAGTAAGTGTCTCATTAATAAGCGTATGAAAGTCATGTCAACATCGGGCCTCCACGAACACTGCGCAGCGTTTAGTACCCACCAGCGTGGGCTTATCTCTGCTTCCTACACCGGGTATACCCGAACACCAACACACTTTGTTTGCAGGCCAGCCGCCAGACCGGATCCAGTTAGAAATTAGTCTCAAATTATCGACCAGTATGGGTGGCGTTCGTCCATTCGCGTATTTATGTATTTGTTGGTTTGCCATCAGTTGCTAGGTCGATGTCAGGGAGGAAAAGTTATGTTTCCTTGCAATGTGACAGATACGAGCAAATGCCCAATAGAGACGCTGCGCTCAGGTAGTTTATCAACAATAGAGAGACGTTGAACAACCGTCTGATTAGTGATAAGACCCATTTAGACCTGTATGGCAGGCAACATCAAATAAATCGCAAGCAATCTAAACCATGTTGGACTAGGATAATATTGCAAAGACGGAACTCGTCCTTTGCAAGACTTTTGCTCGTTATGATCTTACACAGATCTTATTTCACAGTGGCAGTGGTCCGTTGCAGCAGTGCGCATTGTGCATGGCTTGTGTAAAACTGCAACGCTATCTATCCAATGATCTGCTTCTAATGGATCAGCAATACCCTGCTACCTTGCAAAGAACTCGATGTGTGAAAATTTCAGCAGTACATCCTACTGCCGAGGCGGGGTAAATGTCAGCGATAGCCGCTCAATAGATCATGGTCGATGATTTACGAATGGCTCGCGGCACAGGCCATCACTCGGTGCATTTACCTACAACGGTGAATGTGAATGACCACAAATCATATGCTGCAGACATCGGCCATGGTTAAAGGTAGTGTGCCACCTTTGAAAGATTTCCCATTTTATTTTTCCTAGGATAAGAAGCTTCTGTTTTTACCTAATATCGCAAAAAAAAAAAAATCAAAAATGGGCCTGGAATAGTGCCTTTTTCGCCTAAAAGTTTTTCGGTTTTTAGATATGTATAACAACTGTAGTGGGCTCACCTGCAAACAGGCGTCGGGCAACAATCGCGAATGCGGCGCACTTGTGACAATAAGCAAAGGTCATTATAGTGTTACGACCATACGACGTACGGGAATGAGTTATCAGCTGTCTAATCGTAGACAACACAATGTCGAGCCTTAAACTGTAAGCCCGTATTGGTATTGTTTCTTTTATTTGGCTGTCGAACATTATTTATGGTTTGAAATATGATTTTATGTAAAATAATTGATATGAAAAAGCCGTCTTATAAGTTATGACCCCATTTCACCACACGCAAGTGGCAGAAATGACAATGATCAGCTGACGCATTTTTCTTGGCCGAAGTCAGAGCGCGCGGCCCGACGCACCACGCGTATTTGGAAATTCCGACCTCGACGAGCATCAGAAGCCACCTAACAGGCGTGTTCGAAACCGCAGGAGATGATGATGAACGGGTTTATCGAAACTTGATTGGATGAGCATATCGGTAATAGCGATTTCAGTGTGTGCATTTATTGTTCATAGTGGTGTGAAATGTGGTTGGGGTACGACCGACAACCCGTCGGGGCGAATTTCGCACTGGGGTACTCAAAATTTGAAGAATTTAAGACGTTTCCATGAGTTTTGAAGGTATGGATAAGTTCTAAAAATCCGGTTCTCCTTATCTGGGCCATTAACTCCATACGGTCCAAGAAAGCTGGCACACTACCTTTAAAGTGTTATTAAACCTGTCATTTTGATATAGGTTATTGACTTATGAATGAAGAACACCTTATTCAACTGGCATCTAGTTCTCCTATAGCTGTCAAGGGAGCATCTTTGCTTGACGAACTGCGAATAACGCGCTCAGAACGATATGATAATGACAGGAAAGAAGTGAACTGGCGCTGGTATTTGAAGCAAACCCATAAACGGCGGGGCACACCCCTCACTGATGGACGGAACGGTTTTACCGAGGCCGCCGCACGCCATTCACGCGATATCAATGAAGGGAGTTTGCAACGGATGTGGTATTGTGTTTGTTCACGGAGAGGTCAATTCGTCATTCAACTTCCTTGAATGAGCAGTATTGGGAATCTCATACAGCTCTGGCTGCCGTATCCACACCGCTTCCATCGCTTTGATGTTTGATTATGCCAATGTTTTTATTTCTGGAACCAGGATGCCGTCGAGGTAGAGGCGTTTTCTGTGTTGCCACTTGACGAATGCATCACTGAAATGCAGCAAGATAATTTATGAACCTGTGAAAATGCATCCTCTCGTCACTTCTACGAACTCAGACCCCAGCCTGGACCCAGTGACCTTTACCTGAGGTGCTCCTCGGAATGTGTTAGGCCATTCATAGTGGCCACGATCTAGGGCATGCAACAGCATGCATCATGTCATAATTTAGATTTCTCCGTCTGCAGGGAACTCCCTCCCAGCAACACGAGCAGCGCGATTTAACGCTGAAACTTGCAGTCATCCGGAAACACCCAGTCATAAAGGGACGCCATTTAATTGCGTCCCAGAAAAGCTATTTCTGGCACCTAAAAGCTGACTCGCCCCAAAATTGGTCCTCAGCACCTATTTGGTGGATACCAGCACCAATCATGGAAAATGACCTTAATTAGCTGTTTCTGGCACCTATTCATCGGTACGCCTTACTCTTTTTTCTGAATCTGGCACCTAAATGCTGAGCGTAGCACCAATCTAGTAGAAAAATGAACTACTGGCTGGTAGAATCATGTTGTTCTGGTATAATGACCCCTGGAGTCTAGCCTAAAGGTTGCCAGTGCAGCTACACTCTAAGACAGCCCCGTAGTGATCTCAGCATTGTATATGACGTTTTAAGTAAGCAAATAATATTGATTTGTTTGAAAAAAACAATGTCATTTAAATATTTAAAAGTATTTATTTGTAATGCTTAAAGGGAAACATTTTTGTGAGTAATTGTCTCCATTTTGACCATTAAAACGGGTATTGTATTTTTTTTGACGTCATCAAATAGCTCCAAAAAAGAAATGTAATGTTTTCATTCCGTTCAAGGCCGCTGAAGAAACGCGGGATCTTGCGTGGGACATTATCCGTTGTTTGCCGCGCAGAGTTGTGCCGTGGTTGTGCCTTTTTCATCCGTTTCTTACTTATGTCATATGTGTGCATGAAGCTTTGATTTTGTTTTTGGTTATTGTGTGGCCGGTCAGTCAAACGCCCCTGTAGAAACCGGATGCTGCGTTTGATCGAGATGGAGTCAGACGATGATTGCAGAAAGCTAATAATATTGAAAAGAGGGCCGGTTGCGTGGCATGTCTGTTCAGAGTTGAGATTTTGCTTTACTCCAGTTTATGACCTGAGAGCCTGGCTGGAAGTGACGGATCCAAACTTTTCACGTTAAAATGGCTGAGGGTGCAATAATCTCGAGTCTCTACATAGCGGGCTGGTATAGGAGCGTCTTGCTATGCTGCACCATAGCTGGCTAGTGATTCTCTTTTGGCTAGAAATGGCATTAACCATTATCTCCACTGGCGAAAATGTCACTTGACACCACCGAATGCAACGTTCATGTTGTTAGGATACATAAAATCAGGAAGATTACGCGAATTTGGTAGGCAAACGTGGAATAAAATAGGTGCTGGATGTTTTGGTTTTGGTGCTGAATCAGCAAACAGCAAATACGGAGTTCAACTAGACGATCTGGCAACTTTAGGCTGTGTGGAAGCAATTAGGTGCCAGATTCAGATATTAGAGTTGAATAAGCATTTTGGGGCTGATCAGCAATTAGGTGCCAGAAACAGCTTTTAGGGACCAGAAACAAATATTCCCCGTCATAAAGAACCATTCAAACAATGCTTCTAAGGTAAACTAAATCCCCTGTGATCGCCATCCGTCTGAAGTTCGCGGTGCTCCTATGTATCCAGAGCGGCGTGAGGTGTGCTCCGGGTGTTCCCGACTTCCGTGACGTCACGATGACGTCACGGTATCTGGCGGCCGGAAGCCGTGGGTCGCGGCCGAGCCGCACCACGGCTGAATAATGTTGGGCCCGCGGGAGCCCACGCAGTATGATGGTCCAGTCATCAGAAGCGTCGAGCCTTATACAAACGGTACCGGGATGGAATAGTTCTGGGATGTGCGATGCCGTTAGAAGTGGACCATGCAGTGATGGAGGAATGCAGTATATTCAGCGAAATTGGCCTTCTACGTAACTCTTTTGACTAATTGAAATACATAAGGTCAGTGGTAGCCGTTGCCATTTGTAATGCTTAATTAATGGTTTGCTAAAAGGTAGCTCGAAACTACATACCTATATAGCGTGCTATAGTGTATGCGCATTGCGCATTGCACAATATCCAACGCATTATCCCAAAAGTGTCAACTATTAAGTCACGATTCAAATTGCCCATCGGCTGACCAATTGGCCATGACTGCAGTCATGCCAGTACATACATGTGTTTCTATCACTACCGAAACTATTTCAAAAGTCTGTAGACACACTCGACATCGCACCGTCCTTTACGCCGGAACCGGGGCTAGCCGATACCATCAGTGGTCTAAAAATGTGCGTCAGATCTGATCCCCTGTCACTGCTGACCTTCGCAGTGCCACTGTTAGCGGCAAAATGCCGTTAGAAGGTGGGAAACGGACCGACAGTTAGGTGAAGGCTCAGGGCTACCATGCTAGATCATATCGTATCCCTTTGTGTGTGGAAATTGCTTTTTAGCCTAAGGCGTGTTAAAAACCTCGTAAGGCTGTTTTACTATATTGTACCAGCTAGTTCTAGCTTACGCAATTATTGAGACATTGATAAATCGGCGCGCAAAGCAAAGTTAACAGAGGTAACTTTGCTAAGGCAAAGCTAACTTTGCGCGCCGATTTATCAATATAACTAAATCGGAGAGCAATGAGCTGTATAATATCATTGAAGCATAGGACTGCTGCAGCCAACCGGTATAACGTTTGTACCCGGACCTGCTCCCTGTGGAGTTCTAGGGGAGAGTGGGGCACATTCGTGCAAAAAATGGATAAACCCATATATCTGTTCTTTGGTTAGTGCAATGGCAAAATTGTTGATTGTAGTATGGAAAGGAACTATTGCAGATAGTTTTCCTCTTTAAAAGTTATCCTCTAAAATTATTGCTTCCATGAGAAAAAATGACTTTTAATAACTCTGAACATTTGCACGAAACTGCCCCACCTATGGGGCACATTCGTTCAAGAGGTGGGGCACTTCCGTTCACCCTGCAAAGTTCGAGAAATTACCGGGCATTACCAGAAATTTACCAAAGGAAATTGGCAGGGGGTCATTTCACTTGATTCCTTTCGACAAGAATGCATTGCACAACATATGTAGAAATAATGGGCTGGCCAACAAGAATGTGCCAACTGCCGGCCTCCGTGACCTCGCCAAGTTCGCGTGAATTGCTCGTCACGACGTCGCAAGCAGTCGAGACTGAGTCAGGCGAACGTCATTAGAGAAACCTACTACAGATAAAGTCATAAATCGCAAAAAAACTAAAAAAAATATGCACGAATGTGCCCCCAGGCAGTGCGTACACGAACCTGCCCCACAACGTTATTAGTAATACATATATTTCAAAATTTCTTTTTGAAAAATTGACACTTTTTCAACAAACAAGTTTGCAGCAGTTCCGTGAATAGAGTGAGCTTCTTCACCCCCAATTTTGAAAAGCTGAACCACATTTCCGAGTCAGGATCACGAAAATGGATGATATGAGAAAAGTTTGGAAAGCTCACGAATGTTACGAATTTGCGTTTTATCAAGCATGACAGCAAGTACAGTGTTGTCTTCGTACGGTGAACGAAGGGCGGCAATGATAGACATATTTCCATAATTTACCTTGAGCTCGTGCAGTCACTCGTGTTCCCATAAACTGCTGAAAACGAATGTGCCCCATGCACGAATGTGCCCCACTCTCCCCTATAGCCTTGGCTCCCTGTATGTCTCCGCACACACCGGTAGCGTCTTTGTCCTCCCACCAGCCGCGTCCTTCACCTGCGAGCTATTTCGGAGCGTCGCCGGCCGACGGCGCCGTCCCGCCGGTGTCGTTCCTATGCCGCTCAGAGCCGCCGTCATTCTGAATGCAGTTGTCTGCGGGAGTGCAGCCGCGTCGCAGAATAGATAGACGAAGAACGAGGAATTCAGATTAGATAACATTGAGCATAAGGTTTTATTGAGGTACCAAGGTCGGGAGGACACGGTGGGATCTCTTGGGTATTCACTGGCGGAAACGCTGTGATTGCCATTTCTACTTCTGCTGGAGTTGTTTTTATTTGTCTTTTTGTGGACATCCGACAGGCTTTTTGAAGAGTTAACGTCGTTTGAAAAGCTTTATGTTAGGGTGTTAAAGCCTGTTGTTATCCCGGTCTGGTCGTTGACCCTCAAATGCTTTTAATGATTTTTTTAACTAGGCGATTAAGTGTTTTAAACAGCCTGCTCTGAATCAAAATCGTTAAACAAGTCATAAGTGGCCGGAGAAAGGGTAAAGGCATTCTTTGTCTCTGTAAAGAAAACATGAAGACAAACTAAAAGAAAAACAGAAAATGTGTATACCGTTGGTCTGTTGATCTTTCATCAACATGCGATGTAAAAAGGCCTCGACTTCCGAGACAGATCTGCAATCTCTCATCTGCCCCGTCGTGGCAAGAAGTTAACGTACTGCTCACCGTATCGTTCAGTCGTATAGTCGTGACTGGCATACACCCGTACATAACACATTCAGTAACACGGGCTTGACTAGAGAACGTTCAACTGACTGTCCTTTGCCAATCGCATTACGAATTGTTGTTTTTTCTCACCCATATCTCTTTTCATCACAGGTGTTGAAGCGGGCTGCTGAGTGCAGCCGCGAGCGTCGTCGCTTCCTGCGTCTGTCCAGCTCCAACCTCTCGACACTGGGCTTGGGTCCGGTGGGGGCGCCTGGGGCGCCGGGCGCCCCCAGCAGGGCGCCCCTGAGCGACTCCAGCCCGGCCATCGACCGGCTCTGTGAGCGTGTCGAGCGCGAGGTGTGGGGAGGAGGCGCCGGCGGCTCGGCCGGCCGCCTCATGAGGCGACAGAAGAGCGAGTTAGATGCTGGAGTGGTGCTCAGGAGACAGATGCACTACGCCAGTCAGAAACGGCTCAACAGGCATAGCAGTGAGTGGGCAAGGGCAGGGGTGTACGCGACTTTGATCATGCTACTCATGCTACCTTCGTGTATGACCTTGCAGGTATTGATCGTGAAAAGGTCGGTTGATTGGGCGCTAGTTTGTTGACGACCAGCAATAATTGTGGATAGAAGGTGTCCGGTACTATCCCACGCCATGTCAGTATGATTACATTTTGGGATGATAAATCAGACCACATTTAGCATTTCCCTCGATGTTCACCTGCACTTTTGTTTCGTTTCAGTGATGCCCGAAATCGACCTGTACGACTCCATGCAACGGCCTGCTAACGACGTTGTACGACGCAGTCAGATACTCCGCAGGCACAACGACTCACTGGACTCTGCCGGTAAGAGAAAGAGCCACATATTTATTGGAACTGTGACACTGTCTCCAATAAGGATTTCTGGTGAATAGTGATACCTACAATGAATGAAACCGTGTCATTGCTCATCCAGTATTTATGTCTGGCAATTTGTTGTGCCTCCTGCGGTACTGAGGACCTGTTTGTGTGTCACTCGCTAACTTATATCATGAACTGTCCCTTTTTGTTTGTTTTCAGGCCACTCTCCCTCCACCACGCCGTCCAAATCGTCGGTGAGCAGCTCCGAAGGAGCGGCCATGCAGCTGCGCGGTGGTCCAGGCGGCGCTGGCGGCAGCCGCGCCTGTGGCCTAGATGGCAGCACCGACCAGCGGATCAGCTCGGTCCGTCGCCGCAGCCGGGGCCATCTGTCCCACCTGGAGCAGGGGCGACCGCAGAGCATGATCTACGACGGTCCCTCACACCCCGTAGAGGTGGTCCTTCGAACAAAAGGTGGGCAGCAGGATAGTGCTTTGACAGTGATACCAATCAAAAGAATACTTTACAATAAAAGAACGATAAAATAAGACGGGTTTTACGAATTACGTGCGGCGACTGTTAACATGTTCTGTTTTTTTTTTTTTGCTGCCTGATACTTGCTTTTTATGTTTACTACATAAAAAAGCATTAGCGTTATTCTATGAGCGTTATGATTCAATCCAGTGTCTTTCTTTTCGACCTTTTGAAGATAGCAACACAAGCATTTTCTCTGGCAAACGTCTAATATTCTAGTGCCTCTCTCCACCCTCGGCCTCGAGTACCGCTCTTCTTACGGCCCGCTCGCCCTGTCGACAGAGCGCAGCAACCAGCTGCGGCACGAGCAGCGCGTGCAGCACCGGCGCAGCTGTGACGTCACGCTGCTGAACCGTCGGACGGCGTACCTGGCGCAGTACGAGCACTGAGCGGCGTACTTTGCGCAGTACGACCCCAAGTGGCGTACCGAGTCGGTACAGATGGCGCTGCGGTACAGACTAGAGAACACCAGGCCGCAACTATCCATCGCCTGAGAGACACCGGTGCTGCCTGACGATAGGAAATGGATCATTAAGCATCGATGATAGCTGTGCGAGTCTTCACTAGCTTGTGTGTTTTGTTTGTGTTGAGTGAGAAACGGATTCTGTTGATAAATGCGTGAATTCTACGTAACTACTAGTTCCATGTGTATTTCACCACCGGACTATAAAATAAGATGATACAATACTGGAGCTTTAGCTGTCTGAGGCTAGAGCAGCCCCATTAGCGGTTTTCCTCTCCTGGTAGAGAGCAGCGCTCATGGGATGTCCTTGGATGAGAACTTGAATGCTAGAAGTGTCCTTTTCAGTGAAAGGAATCGTAGCAAAGCAATGATCCCAGCTATCCCAGTCTCCTAGTATGCCTCTGTGGTGTGACTTATAATTAGAGGTGAAGACATGTGAGTGTGACCCTGATGTAAGTGTGACCCTGATTTGAGCACTGAGATCACCTGAGATCACCTTATAGCTCAGGATATTTATAGTCAAAGTCTCGAACACGCGTGAAGAAAATCGGATCTGTGTAGAAGTTGTATGAACTTCTGTAAAATTACAAATGAAACTCATGATTTAGTTCAACGCTGACGAAATATCGATTGCATGTGATGGCATATGATATAATAAAATATGTTCTTAGGCGTCTCGAGCAAACTATGGCCATTGGCCACTATCCATTCGTCCGGGCGAAAAGTGCGAACTAAACTATGGCCATTGGCCACTATCCATTCGTCCGGGCGAAAAATCTGTTTCACTTGTCCCCCAAATGGGTGTATTTAGGAAAGGAGTGACATAATGAGTTTAGCTATCTCCTTTATCAGTAGGAGTGCAGTATAGCAGATGCTCCCCGCTTCGCCCTGATAAACCTCTGAAAGTAGTGAGGCGAGCCAAATGATGTGATATGTGTTTGATGTGACAAATAAATGGAAACGATTTGATGATGTTTGGAAGACGGAATTTGCAGTTACACCATGGGAGCTGGGGTTCAACCCGTGACGAAGGTGAAATCCTCGGTTGCCATGAATTTCATCCAACGTGGGCTGTATGGGGAGATAGGAGTGAATTGACAAAAGAAGTGAATAACTCCTTCAGGGGCACCCAGTGGCCAGTACCCAAAGCAACTGAATGCAAAGATGATCGGAGACATTCGAAACCAATCTAAAATGATCAATGGCAATACCCTTATAGCCTCTTTTGCCGAGTCAAATGCAAATTAGATTTACGCTTATGCCCTCAGCAGACTCTTGCACAATTATTTGAACGTAGCTTTGCTGTATTCAGAATTCAAATAAGGTATCTTGTTGATACGATACGAATGGTAGAAAATACAATTCAAATAAAAAAGCATGTCCATTTTTTGGGTGAGCTGAAAAAGATAAAGCTTGGCACATATGATTCGCCGCAAACGGAGACGGGGACGGACACTTCGGGTGTCACACGGGCAGGACAGTGTAGGAGGGGCAGGGGCAGAGGTAGGGACGGGGCAGGGGCAGGGGTGGGGACGGGGCAGGGGCAGGGGTAGGGACGGGGCAGGGGCAGGACAGGGCAGGACAGGGGTAGGGTCTGTCATCTTGTTCGTGGACGTGGAGAGGTGGGGTAAGGCAGGGGTAGAGGGGCATGGGCAGGGTAGGCTAGGGACAGGGGCAGGGTAGGACAGGGCAGGCCTGGGTAGAATGGCAGGACAGGACAGGGCGGGGCAGTGGCAGTGGCATAGACAGCGACACAGGCAGGACAGCGCATGCTCGGCGGGACAGGAACAAGGAACAGACAAGGCAGGATCCTGGTAAGCGATAAAGAGTGATCGAAATGTTTAGACCATTTAGCTCTGTATACCGTGTACGGCATACGAATAACAAGGGCTGACGATTGTACTGTACACTGTGCAGTGTGCTGTGCGCACTGAAAGTTGCCACGGAGCGACTCTCTGCGACGTCGTCTGGGACGCCTGGCGCCGGCCCGCCACGCCAGAGTGAAGTGTAGGTGTCGCTGCCTCTACATGGGGCTGTGGAGCCCCACTGCCTTGCTAGCCTAGCTTGGAAATATTATTTGATCTACTCTCACTTTCAGGTCTCATGTTTTTTTTTATTGTTGACCAATTTCTCTTGTTCTTTGCGCTGGACGGGCTCCCGTGATCATGAAGGGGCAAATATTAGTAATCTTCTGGGATTATTGCTATCGCGGCTGAATGGTCGGTAAGTCGGGGTTGACCCAAGAGACCTGAGGCAGCTAAACCGTAAACGGTGGTCGCCATAGATCATTTTCGGTGCTACTCCATATTCATCTTATGAATCTGCAATGGTATTGTGACACCGAATGCCAAGCGATTTAAAAAAAAAACAAATATCTATATATAAATATTTAACTGATTGTCAAGGCACCCACCCATTGGGACCCATCAAATGATATCGCACACCAGTAGCGGCGGAACACCTTCAATAAGGGGGGGGGGGGAGGCACTGCCGACTTTTGGTCCCATTCTTTCCATGCAACGCCCATAGGGCTAATGCTAAAATGCCAATATCAAAGGGGGGCACAGTGCCCCGGTGCCCTCCCCTTTCCGCCGCCTATGTCGCACACTAAATGTTTGTTTTAGATTTTGTTGTAAGAGGCAAGAGGCATTTCCTTGGTTTAATTTGGCACTTTCCGCTTCCATTCAAACCCAGGCAGAGAAAGCAACATCAAACTGTGATAATCAAATGACAATGAGAAAAATAAAAATCGATCTCAGAGGCTGTTTTAAACGGGTTGCAGCAAAGTAGCCCATGCGGCTCTGCTTCAATGCACAAATAGCACGTCCTGACTGGTCATGCTGGCCCATCCGGTCGATTGCTGCCTCTAAATAAAGCCACTGCCTCATCATTATCAGGTGGGGACTCACGAACTCGTTTGGCTCGATCACGATTAGAGCCACGTCAAATGCCATCCACGTCACGACCATTCACGGAAGAGGGAAAACCCGTGACCTCAGTGTACGAGGCCTATTTAGACACTCCTTCACGCCATCCGGTTTGTAAATCATAAACATGATATGTACGTGTGTTAGTTATTGATTTGACTGGTGACCATGACATGTAATATGTAAGGTTAATCTGACGTCATCACTATCCTTCTAACCACAGCATGACGGCTTTCCCCGAGGCACAAGTGGCTAGCAATGATGTAGTTCCAATGCCATTTACACCTTTTTGTGCCCAATTTAGGCGGCAGTGCTCATATTTCAGTAATAGTGCAGATGATTTCGACAGTACAGCATAGTCTGTCTAGGGTGAACTGTCGAAAGCGGTTGCACTATTACTGAACTGTGGGCACTTTGTCTATATTTCGCTGTAAAAAGGTGTAAACAATCTGACCACCATTTGGCCACAAGTCCACACTGAAAACAATTTAACCCAAGGCCCGCGAGTAAACCGGTGTTTTACGGGTACCCCTATCCGCAACCATTTTTAACCACCCTCCCAGGAGTACAGTAAGGTCCCATTGCAGTGTAGTCGTCCCTGCTCTCAGCGGACTTATTCGCTGACAGCGGTTATATCCGCTCAGAGCAAGTACGACTACACCGCAATGGGACCTAGCACTACTCCTGGGAGGGTGGTTAAAAATGGTTGCGGATAGGGGTACCCGTAAAACACCGGTTTACTCGCCAGCCTTGGGTTAAATTGTTTTCAGTGCACACCCATTCCTCGTGTCAGATCTCCGAGAACCGTCTGTCAACCCATCACATCTCAACGTGACCTGTCACGTCCCATCCGATAACCCGTCACGCCGCCCACACGGTGACCTGTCACGCATCCTGTGCCCTGACCTGTCACGCCCCATCCGATGACATGCCACTTTTCCGGCCCGGTGACCTGTCACGCCGCCGTCGGCGAGCATCGGATGGCCTGTCATCCGGACCGTGCGCCGGCTGTCTCAGGGAGAGCCGCTTTTTCCCCTGCCGACGACAGACCGGTCGTGCACATCGGCTGGCGCAACGGAGGGCCGTTTTTCACCGGTGCGCCAGCGCTCCTAGGACGTGTGCGGAGAGCGGCCGTCCGACCGTCCGTCCGTCCGTCCGTCCGTCCGTCGGACCGGCGCGGCCCGCGGCGACTCGCCCGGTCGAGTCGGGTCGACCGCGCCGGCCCGTGCCGACCCGTTCGGACGGTCGACGGCGGGCCGCCGCGCGCCCCTTCACATTCCCGGAGACTCATCGCGTGGGGTTGGGGAGGGGAGAGGGTGAGAGGGGTCGGAGCTTCGGCGGCAGGCCCGGCGCCACCGCAGCCCCGCGGCCATGGCACCAGACGCGGGTCACGTGCTCTTCTAGGAAGCGAGGCTATAGAGACTTTCCTGGAAACGGAGACCATGGTTGACCATGACCCGGGGATGTGCCATCATCCTTCAGCCTGACAGTGTCAAAAGTGCGTTGGCAAATGAAAGCGACAGGAGCTTGAGCTAGGCTGACTGCCCGTTTGGTTACTTACTACTTAGGCATGCGGCTTCAAAGCAAAGGTCGTTGAGAATGACACCACCCAACCCACCGTAAATGTTATATGTATTCCACATTTTCCTCCACCTCCAACAGCGGCTCACTTCATGGTGGTATAACATTAGCGCGACGTGTCCTCCCAGGTTCATCGCAGTTCGCCAGTTGCAGCTTGAACTTTGAAGCAATACCTATTCTCATCAAGCGATGTACAGGGACCCGCAGTTGCTACTGTACACATATATTACCAATTTAGAATTGCGCTATTATTTGCTAAGTGCTGGCCATTGGAGAAAGGAAATGTAGTGCAAAGTATGGAGGAATAACACATGTTTGCTCCTAGGACGTATGTTTTGTATAATTCCTCTTACCGCAACAGATATTCTTCCAAAACTACAATCGTGCTATTTTTCCGCGCCGGCTGCCTCCCCAGAGCCCGTCCTTGGTATCGCCTATACGCTACGTGAATGAAAGTCACGTGACTACTACAGGTTTGCGCTCAGTACTAACACACCTAGCCCGAGGGCCGGTCCGTAGCGGGGAGGGGTAGAACGCCAGAGCTCCAGCGCAGTGGAGGTGGTGGTGGTCCGTATCATAAAGAGGCAACCGTAAGCAGAATTACAATTGCCGCAGTATAAGATTATGATCAAGTTTTCTTTAGATGTATTGATTGACAAGAAAGTGCAATGCTTATCCGATATAATAAAACGGTGTCCAAGGCCTTGGAAGAACTATAAAACATATTCAGCAACGTATAAATTTATGATACAGGCCATGACCTTTCACCTTGCCTCCGGGGAGGACCACTCAGGAAGCCACATACCGAACGAATCGAGGCCTCGCAGCGCGGCGGCAGAGGAGGTGGATAAACCATCGCCAGATCTTTCGGTTGCTTATGTTGAAGAAGGGGGGGGGGGGTGGAGGGTGAGGGCTGTTTTCAACCCACTCACCAATCCTTTCCTTATTAACTTATAGCTTACCGAAAAATGCAACACAATGGTGGCCGTCACGAGATGTAGCGAAGCGTGCCTCAGCCACACCGGTTTTGAGTTAACTTTAAGCATTGGAATTCAGGCCAGTGATCCTGAAGCATTATTTTATTTTTGTCGTGCATAAGCTGGGATGACGTGGTTCAAGTTAATTGCGAAGGAACGGTTTTAGTTTCGGAACATTTATGAGGCTAGTCGCGCCAAATAGTATACGTTTGTTGCAAAACGTCAAATAGAATGTTGACGTGCTATCCAGATGATGGAACTTATTTGACACAAGAAGTCAAAAAGTGGCATCGTTAGTCATCCTGCATACCTATAAATCGATTCGTCGCCTTGGTTCGAGCTCAATAGTTCTTTTCGCGGATGATCGGTTTCGTTTTCTTTCTTTCTTTCTTTTTTTTTGGGGGGGGGGGCACATATTATGAGCCAGTAACCACCCTCCCCAGTCCCCCAAACAACAATTGTTGACAAATACTGTGATGGCC